ATAAGCACCACAATCAGAACTCACAGATCATTTGGGGAAATCCTTTTCCAAGAAACTCCATGTGGTAAGCAGCCAGGCAACACAGAAAACAACAAAACACCCCCATTTCGAATGAAATAATGTGATTTATAAACCAATACAATTTCCTGCAGCTTTCAGGAAAGGAGCATCTAAAATACGGGGGCACCAACACCCATATTCAGAAATTCTAAAAAGGTTTGGCCAAAGTCAAAAAAAAAGAGTGAAATAATACCACACTTTACCTGTCTTTTATGCTGTATTTTCCTATGGGCCTGACAATGTAAAGAATCTACATGGAAGTCAAAGTCTGATGTCTCCAGGATGTGAGATAGCCAAGAGAGACTATCAGCAGGATTTTGCTGGAAAATGTCATTTATGGTTCAGTTTCTAAGAGCTACTGAGTACCATAATTTCAGTGAAGTCTGAAATGAGCTAGAGACAATTTAGCCAAATATATTATATTTTGTTTAATGCCTGGGAGGAGGTAAAAAGCATTGGACACCAACTAAGAAAGGGCACCTGGAATGCAACTGTACCAGCTGGGGAAATGGAGAGTGGAGAACAACAAAAGAGAAAGTATGAGTTGCACAGCGTGACTAACAAACTGAAAAACTGGCAAATAATGGCTCATGGGAAACAAAAGTAGGAGGAAAAGGGATGTAGGGAAAGCTGTCTTTCCTTGACACTGCTGTCACAGTACAGAAATCCAGAGAAAGCACAGGAAATGCAGTCAGACACGAGCAGGGCAAGCAACAAACTCTACCTCAAACCCAGGAAAGAATTSCAAATCAGATTTCTATGGTCAAGAAGGAAAGAATAGCATTAGACCTCTAAGATGTGCAGCTAAGTGAGGATGAAATGCATTCTAATACGAAAAACAGCAGAGCAACCTCAGAATCATAACCTGTCTGCTTAAAATATATGGAAAACTTGTGTGCTCTGTGCTTCTCAGCCTGGGAGAAGCACCTTTGGGAATGACARCTGTGTCCAGGCTGGGTCACTATTCCTAAAGAAATGACACCAGGACTAAAGTGGACCCCTGTGGTCCCTTTTAGCTGCCTTCCTGATTTTAATGGCTGATGATGGAAAGCAGGTCTGGATCTGGGATGTCCTCATGACTAAACATTCTTCAAAAAACTAACAGCAACTGAGAGAAAGCGTCCCCTCTCTGTTTGGGAGGGAAGAGCTTTTCCTGGCAGCCATACTCCTCCTGTGCCACCTGCTGACTGCCATGCAATGGTGCACAAGAGTGCCCAGTGTTCACAGCTGAGAGAGTCCAAATAATGCAGGAAAGGGATGGGGCAGAGCACCAGTCATGGTCACTGTTCCTTCCCAAGTAAATGAATACTTTACCCTTCCCATTTTTCTACCTGCTTGGAGGGGGATCCAACACAGAAAGTGTCAAACAAATGCCCAGAAAAACCTTTGCAGAATTTTAGATTTTAACTGGCTCCTAGGGAGGCTACTTCAGCCCAAGCTCTGTGGGTTACAGTTAAGATAGCAAAAAGACATGTGACATTTCTCCTTTTCCCATCTCCTTTTAGCACCTGACCATTTCCAGTTAAACCAGAACAGGAATTTTTCACACTAAAATAATCAGTGGTGCTGAACACGGCTATACCTTGCARCTGCTGCAAGGAGTAACTACCAAAGCACCAGCACTGGGCATCTCTGCCAGCAACAGAACTGCCTGTGGCACTCCCAGATGCCCCAACAGAACATCTACAGGGAGTACATAGGTGTTTCTCTCCAACTGGTGTTTCTTTCTTTCTTATTCCATTTTGTTCTATCACAAAACTGGAGGAAGCTCCGTACACCCACAAGGCTTTAAAAGCATTCTCTCCATAGGATCAGACAACGACCAGGCTCCCCTAAATGTATCTCTCATTAAACACACCCCCAGCTGCCCCTGTCAGAGCCAGGACAGCAGGACAGGAGCACACAGTCTGGCTGAACAGGGCATTTCTCCCCAGAGATTCCCTGGCACCACACTAGATGGCACAGCTGGCCTTGGAGGCACTGCCCACGGGCCAGCCCTTCCTAACAATAGCTCTGGCTGCAGGCTGGGTTATAGAGCTGGGAGAGTAAATATCTGCCCTTCTGTTTTGGTTTCGGTTCTGSACTGTGGGAAGGTGTCAGGTTTGAGGCTGCTGATCCTGGGCCAGCCCGCTGGGAATTCTGCAAAGTCACGTGTGGCTTTTCCAAATACAAACTGCTCTGGCACTTGCTGAGCAAACAATGGTGCAATGGAGCTTCGTTCACAGAACACTGCTCTCCAAACTAAAGCCACATCAGGAATGACAGCATGAACAAACTGAAGTCCTGAAYTAATCAGAAACAGCGTTGTGACCCTGAGACTTTGAGAATCTGTCTCCTTCAAACTTAACTGGTACAGACACCTTGTTGGGTTCTGATGAAAGCTTAAAAAAAAAAAAAAATCTCTGTTACCATCTGGAGCATATCTGTTTATCTGCTTTGGAAATCTTAGGAGACAGAAGTCTCCAAGTTCTACAGGATGAGATCACTTTGAGAATTCCTAGAGGAGAAAGGACCACACCTTCCCAAGGGATACATAAACATATGGACCATTGCAAATGGGAGCTTCAGAAAAGAAACCTCAGTTCTCAGCGACCCTTCTCACTAATCTCCTGTCCAGCATCTCTGCTTCTAACACTCAGTAAGTGATCAGCAATTCAGAAATTTCACCCTTAGTATACACCAAGAACCCTTGTTTAAAAAACAAAAAAAAAAAACAAACCAACCAGGAGATAGAAAATAAATTCTAGGCATCCTAAGAGGTGTTCCAAAGGAAACAATTTGGCTGCTGCCTACACAATGACTGCTACAGGCAGGAGTAAAACTCACTGCATCCAGCATAACCCATGTTCCTCTGAAAAGGAAAGGTCTTCTGTCTTGTCTCTTTGTCACAAGCTTTGTGACTCCCTCTTTTTGTAATGATCCAAATGCATTTGTGGTAACAATTACCCTGTGCACTCAAAGCAGTCAGGGTGCCTTGTTTTAGTTTCTTCTGCAGGTACTGGGTGAGAAAATCTGGCACCAGAAGAGGCTTGAATGTACCTGGAGATTAATAGAAGCAGGGGAGACCTTTGCTCTTCTCATTAAAGCAGCACCCTACCTTTCATCCTGGGCATTTCTATATGTTCAAAATAAACTTTTATTTAAGCATTCCTTCAATAGGCTGTGTTTGCTTGGTGTCCCTTCCTTCCTAAGCTGTTTTACCTCATTTGTTTAAGGAAAGGAATGTGGGGTTGGCAGCTCCTACCTCTTCATCTGTGCTGGGGGCTGGCAGAAGGATGCCCTTCTAGTGTAMTGCCACAATAATGAATGGGTTGTGCCTGCTCTTCTCCAGGGAGGTGGCTGGGAAGCTGAAATTGCAGTGCACACATGGTACTTACAGAACAGCAATGTGTTGGTGCCCCAACTGGCAATCCCAGCTCAGCAAGGTGATTGATGTGCAGACACACAGCAGGGCTGCTGTTTTGAAGGCTAGGAAAAAAAGGAATGTCAGTAAACTGCAAAGATATCACTCACTCTGCAAAGAGTTTCAGCAGCTAGCACAGCTCTTTACAGGTCTGTTTTAGGCAGGGAGGCTGAGCTGCACCTTGAAGCACCAACAGTGAAAAAAGAGAGTGCACCCAAGGCCCCAGTGGCCAGGCACGTCCCTCAGCTTTCCCTTCCCCTGTGTCACTGAGCAGGAGATGGGAGCAGTGCACGTTCAGCCCRTGCCAGGACACAGCCCACACATCCAAGTACCAAAATAGATCCTTTGACTTAAGCACCAGCTCAGCACTTTGCTGGAGGAGACAGTTCCTCAGCTACTGCTGTAAGCAAAGAAAGGGAAAATATTCAGATCATGAATTCTGTGTCTGTGCACAGCCACTCTCCTCCCTGTCAGCCAGGGAGCTGCCCCATGGAGGCTGCACACTTGTGCTTCTATAAATTCGATTGACATTTACTGTCCTATTAAGCTGAGGGAGTACTGCTGTGACACTGAAAGATTAAGAAGTTCATACACTGGAAATAGACTTACTGGGACATCCACTTAGCCATTCTCTTTTCTAATGAGATACTAGTCAAAATCTCATCAGTGGGCTTTAGAGATCCAGTCATGACCACACCTTTGGGCAGATAAAGAGAATGGATTAAAAAAAAAAGACAGCAATCAAAACCGAGTGGACCTGTCTCTCCTCACTCCTCTCCTGGTGTTAATCTTTRGTCTTATAAACATTTTCACAGTTTATCACTCCAGAACTACCAATTTAAAACAAAACAAAAAAAAAAAAATCTCACGCTGCATTTACTTAATTTCTCGGGTTCCTAGTAAGATTTATCTGTGTAACTTCCCAATTTTGAAATAAATTTGACATCATCACTTCAAGAGTAGTAAAATGAAGGTAAAAATAAATAAACATCAAATATTCTCTGGTCTACTGGACTCTGAAGTCCTGGTAGTCCATAAAAGCTTCCTGAGCATGATATAGAAGCCAGGAGAGGAGGGCAATGTCAAGGGATCCAATTGTAGTCATTAGAATATTATGAAAGGTTAAAAATTAGTAGTGAGTTCATCTCACTTCTCAGGGATACCAGAGCACTACGGGATTTTCACCAGTATAAGCATTAAAATTACCAGCAAATCAGTTCCCATCTGCACAGCCCCGTGGGTGTATCTCAGCCCACCAGCACTGCTRGAATTAAACCYGCYSTGGGTGACCCTGCCTTGGCAGGGGGCTTGGACTAGATGMTCTCCAGAAGCTCCTTSTAAMCCTAACAATTCCGAGAGAAGGTGTGTGGGCACGTGAAGACTGGAAACTTTCTCCGCCCCGACTTTGGGAGTTTATCGGGACCTGCCTTTGCAGCGCCTCCCCAGCGGGGCCCCGCCCGGCCCGGGGGCGGCTCCTCCCCGGATCCCAGCCCGGTTTAAAGCGGCGCCGGGGGGGCGGCCCGGCGGGGTCCCGCTGCTGCAGCGCCCGGCCATGGCCCGCGATCGCGGTGCCGGCGCGCTGCCCGCAGAGCCCCGCGSCTGGGGCTGGCTGGGCGCGGGGCTGTGGCCGGCGCTGCTCGTGGCGCTGCTGGCTGCCATCGTCGCCTGGCTCTGGTACGGCGGCAGCGACGGGCGGCCCGAGGCGGGCGGCGAGGAGGAGGCGGCCGGCAGAGCGGGGCCCCGGCGGGAGAGCGCGGCGGCGGCGGCCACAGGTACCGGGATGGGGAGGCGGTGCTCGGGGTGTCTCGGGCTGCCCGTCTTGGCTTTCCCGGCGATCAGCTTAACCCGGTGCCGTTCTCCCCAAATGTCACTTGCAGAGGATGCTGCGGTGCGGCGGGAGGTCCCGGCTGCTGCCCCGGCCGGCCCTCCGAAGCCCCGAGAGGATCTGGCGGCTGTTTCAAGGGAAGAGCTCAATCACGTCCCGAGCGGTGCCATTTCSGGGGAACCTGTGGAGGTGGAGCGGCTGATCCCGAAGGAGAGTGTCACAGAGTTGGAGGAGCATGCAGCTGATACGGCCGGGGGCCAGGCAGGTGAACTGGGAGCCCAGGTGGGACAGGCAAGTGACGGATGGTGCGTGATGAACTTGGCAGGAGCCTCTGATGATGACTGTAAGRACAGAAGTGAGGAGCAGCCGAGTCAGCCAGCTGAGAGCAGGGACTTGGACCATGAAGAGTGGGAAGTTGTTTCTGAGCCTCTGGTCGAAGGGGAGGACGGCAAGGATGGCAGCATGGAAGACTCCGACAGCAAGGAATGGGARCAAGGAGACTGCAGTGATGGGGACTCGAAAGCAAAGAGAGTTGCAGCTGTGCCCCCCATGTTCCAAAACATCCACGTGGCTTTCCGTGTGCACTACATCACCCACTCCGACGCGCAGCTCATCGGTGTCACCGGGGACCACGAGTGTCTGGGCCAGTGGCACAGCTACGTCCCCCTCAAATGTGACAAGGATGGCTTCTGGTCCGAATCCATCAGTCTGCCTGTAGACACCAGAGTAGAGTGGAAATTTATCTTGGTGGAGAATGGCAAGGTCAGACGGTGGGAAGAATGCGGTAACAGGACCCTAGTGACTGAACATGAAGATCAAATTGTTCATCAGTGGTGGGGGTACCATTAATGGGAAGTTGGAAGTTGCTGATCTAATGGCAGAGCTGCCTAGGTCACTGAGCCCCTAAACCTTAGCAGGGCTCCCCTTCTTCTGTAGGAAACCTTCTCAAGGTGCAGAGCTCTGGAAATCCCGTATCGAACCACATGAGCAGCAGATCTCTGCCCTCCCCTTTAGGAAACCTTTGGCAACCTGAAAAATCAATTTGAATGTGCACTGAAGAGACACAAGGTAGGCTAAGAAGGGATGAGCAGCATTCCAAGCACCTGCCTGTCCAGGTGGATCTGGAYCCTGGACTTGAGTTTGTGTTGCTTTGAGTGGGGCTATGGATGCACCTTGGGCTTGGGAAGCGTACTGGGAGGTGTGGTTACTAACACTGTAACAGCAGCTGAAGTGTTTTAATTTATGTAATGTATTAAGTAAACAATAAACATTTTCAGATTGACAGTTCATTACCAGCTGACCAGTGACCTCACTCATTTTAGTAACTTTGATCCCACTGAGCCCCTTGACGTGCAATCTTAGTGCTAAGGAATTACTGAGAAGKGGCCATCACTCCTGGGAGTAACAAAAGGTTGAACCCCAAAATAGTTCATTCTCAACCCCGTACTGTCCAGCAATCATCTCRGCTTAAATGAAAGGCTTGGCAGGCAGCTCCTCTCCTGCTGAGGGGAGAGCAAAGGTCACAAAGGACTGTCTCAGCTTAATGAATTACTTTGTCAGGGTGGGAGCAGGCTTTGTAAAAAACCTGGAATGCTGTGATAGCTAGGGAATAGGGTTCTGGCTGGAGCTGTCAGGTGGCATGTTCTGCTTATTGAGGAGCAATACAGCAGTATTGTTAATAGATACTTAGCTTAAACTTGTARTTATGTTTTTAGGCCTAGGCTATTCATCTTGAATATATTTTAAGTTGTAGCCTAGTAAGCCATATGGAGTAGAATACTTCCAGCTTCAGTTAGTTGTTTTTTTTATATAATAGAAGCAGAAAGCTGCTCTGCTTCCCTGCTTTTCATATTTTTGGTTACAAATAGATGCTGCCACTTGATCAAGCTCTTGTTTCCATAATGCTGAATCAAGCTCTGTCCTAGCCCTTCCCTAGAGTGAGCTTGTTCTGGAGAGCAGAATTTTGTAGGAGTTCTGCAAGTATATAAATTAGCACTTTGTATGGAAGATTTACTTCAAAAAACATATCACTGATATAAATGCCTCTGCTAACTCCTTCCTGCTCTGCGTGGTGGAGCAGTCTGAATGCATGAAATAGAATGGCTTTGGTGAGAGGCTGGAAGATAAGGTACAGAGGCTGAGCTCCTCCATCAGGTGGGTTAATGGGCATCCACTTGGTGGGGGACAATGTTACAGCTGCTGGCAAGAACCAGGGTCAGAAATATTCTTACTGGGACTTTGGTGCAAAGAGAGTGGGTGGGGGCTGCATGSTCCTGCAGGCATAGCCACAAAATAGCTCAAGGAACTCCTGCGAGGGTGTTGAGAGGAGGGTRAAGAAGGAGAAGGACTAAGGCCAAGGAACAACAGCACTGGCAAGTTGGAATTTTGATTTCTATCATGTAAAACAACCTCAGTTGTTGTTTTGCATTCTTTGCACATGGCATTTCTAACAATAAACTGAAGTGGACACTACATAATATACAACTGCAATAGGAGATGATCTTCAGAAATCACTGAAATCAAAGCAAAACAYTTCCTTTTAAGGCGATTACAAATCTCTCCCCCTCCAATGCAAGCTCTTCAAATAGGGAAATACTGTCAACTTAAAAAGCACTTGTCGCACAGCCACTGCCACCCTTGCGTATTTAAACACACGTTTGAGGCTTGTCTGATGAGATTAACTGTGCTATTAGATTAAGTTATTCACTAGAAAGCTACTTAACCTATGCTAGAATAGATACTCTAATGCAATGGTGAACATGTCAAACAGACCAGCACTGAGAAGTCTCTCAAATTGAGAGCCATTAATTTTTTTAAACATCCTGTGCTTTGATGCCACAGACAACTCACCGTCCTCATGATTGTATCATCTTGCTGAGGTTTCTGCAAAGAACTCCACTGAACTTTTGTGACAACCTATGAATTATTATGCCATTCACATAACTGCTCGCCTAGCAGGACCTATGCTAACTGAATTAAATGGTTTGGGTATGGTGAAAGAAAAACGTGGCTTTCAGTTTTTCTGGAGGAACCTACTGGTATTTTCTCCAAGTTCACAGGGGTGTTTTCTGATTATTGAACCACCTATTTGCTCAGAGGGTAGATACAAACAAAGAGGCCTTGCTGCATAAAAAAGATGCTGCTGGAATGGCTGATAGCTGTCTAACACGATGTCCTGGCTGTGAGAAACAACTTGTTGACATTCCTGTGTGGATCGAACAGCCAGCGGCTCAACACATCTCCAAGCAAACAATAAACTGTCTCACTCACAGCTTGGCAAAGCCTAGAACCACAGAGCTGCATTTAAAGTGCACCTGCTCAGACCCCTGACAACAAACTTGTGACAAATTAAACAATTTGATTACTTTGAGGTAAAACACAAACCATTCCTTTCTGTGAACCAGTTTGGTGCACCAATGCTGAAGGCTGCAGCTGGATGGTGAGCTGTGCAAGCAGCCTGAGGGGACTGGGCATAAACCATTTGAAAGYCTCCTACAAAAACCTTCACTGCAGCTTGTTTGCTTTGCAAAACCCAGGCCCATCCCACATTCTCCCTGGGAGCTGAACTTACCATTCGGAGTCTCTCCATTTATTAGGCTGGTATTAGGTTTTCTCTTTARGGGGCTCAGTGCAACCAATTCCTAGGAGAGGGAAGATGCCTTTATTAGCATTTCAACTAAGCTTGCAACACTGTTGCAAAAACTAGAAGAAACAGTGGAAAATAATTATTAGGAAATCTAAAAAAGTTCCTTGAATTAAAATACTGTTGACAATAACTGAGGACAGCTTAGGATCAATTCTTCTCCCCACACAGGACTCAAACTTGATAAAGCTTGATGAGTCCATTCTGCTTAAATRAGTCATGCACAGTTAYRAAATTCAAACTTAAAGAGGAAGAATTTAGCTTAGATATAGGGAGAAATYCTTCCCTGTGAGGGTGKTSAGGCMCTGGCACAGRGTGCCCAGAGAAGCTGTGGCTSCTCCATCCCTGGAAGTGTCCAAGTYCAGGYTGGATGGGCTTGGAGCAYCCTGGGATAGTGGAAKGTGTTCCTGCCCATGGCATGGGGTGGATGATTTTTGAGGTTCCTTTCTATTCCTCTGTATTCCCTGCTCATTTAAAATAAGAGCTAAAAAAACTGCAAGGGTGTTTATTATTAATAATTGAAAATGTAACATATTTAAACACAAGGTACCTACATGGAAGTGATGCATACAGCATCTTCACTTGTACAGCTTTCTCTCCTTTTCCTTGGATTTCTTTGYCTTCACATCCTGAGTTCTGATCACTGGTGACGTGGCTGAAAATAGCAGAACAGATTAGCTGAACATCACCTTRTGTTTAAAAGGGTGAGGTCTCAGGTGCAGACACCTGAAGCTTCATAAATTCCTCCCATAACCAGTTATGTTGTACTTAGCAAGCCTTACAAATGCAACTTCAGTTTGCAATYCTTTATGTCAATGTAGAAAAAAACACTGAAAGTATTAATAGATGGCAAAGAACAAAAATGAGAACACTTACTTTTGACTTATTTATATAAATAACTTGATTAGTTTTACCTACATTAGTTCATACACTGTGTGAAAACGGGAAAAAATAATTTCCCAAATCTTCAGTAAGATGTAAAGAGGCAAAAGGGAAGAAAGTGGAATATGCAATAAGAAAAAGTGCAGAGAAAAKAAATCCCATCTCATTTGGCATCCTGCCATCCTAGAAGCTCATGCAACTATGTTTTGGAAATCTTGCCGTTTCCATGAAAGCGTCATCAGCTCGTTAAAAATCCCCTTTAATTGGCCGTGACAGCACACGAGGACTCCCCTGAGCAGCTGCCATGTTTGACACGTTAAGGATCTTGAACTTATTAGAGTTAAGGGGCATTGTGGAGTTAATCTAATTACTCTCCCAGGAGCAGGATAATGGAGAAGAGGGTACTGCTAGTAAAACTAGTGTGTGCTAGTAAAAGCACAGGGAGTGCTTTGGCAGGTACCAAGAACGGTTTCTGGACAGTGTGTGTGTGTTTTTTTAATAAAAGAGGAATATTTTTGGTAAATTCTGGCACCTTGTTTTTTCATCTGTAATGATTCCACCAGGTTTTGCAGGCTTTCCATCTTGTTCTGTAGCCTCTTTGGTGTGGAAGTGCTACTTTGCATGGGCTGAGAAGCTAGGCAAAAAAAATAATAATATAAAAAATAGAAAAAGGCCATTAAGAATTATCTAAACATTCCATTAAAGTTTAAGTTCTTGGGAAATAAAATTTACACCAACATTTTCAGTAAACTCCAGAACTTTACTAAATGTGTTAGAAGAACCACAACAGCTATTGCAAATATTTGTTAGTGCAAATATTAATGTCAAGCATCCTTACAGTCTCCCATAATAAAGCAATTTACCAGGCCTTAAATTTAGTGGTGTGGGGAATTTATCTTCTCATTGCAGAAAACATTAATTACATACTATCTTTAACTCACAATTCATTTATTGCTGAATAAACCTTCTGCTTGAAGAGAATTGGAACAGCATGAAGACATCCTGATCAGGAAATGGGACTGAACATACCTATTTGTGGGGCTGTGGCTGTTCCCTCTGGAAAGCCAGCCTTCCTCATGGATGGGCTGTGCTCTGGTGAGGAACCACGGCCAGCTGCAAGTTCAGGGGGAGTWGTTAAAAGCAAGTGCACTGGAGATCTTGCTCTGTCTGTGCTCTCCTGAGAGATTTGCTCAGTGGAGGATGTGAGATGAGGCACTGCTGAGCAGAGGGATGCATTTCCTAGGAGATGTCCAAGCAAAGAGCAGTGAGCACACACCTGAGGAGGGGTCCCCATGCAAGGAGGAGAATAAAGCCTCCTTACAAAACATGCATGTTTTCTGTTGAAGTCACTGGCATGTGAAAATGTTTTTTTTCTGCTCTCTCTTCTATGTCTACTTCCCAAACAGGAAATATCAGAGCTGCTCAGAACTCAAGACTCCCTGTCCATTACAAACTCCCCTTGCTCAACTACTTTTCAAACCTTCCATATAACAAACCCCTACTTGCAGCTGTTTTGGACACCAGGAAAATCCCTGGATGCTGYAATTGGTTTGCTACAAGACTGCTAGACAATAACAACCCAGGAGATTTTATTTACTACTCAGAAATACAAGAAGAATACCCAGAGCAGTTACTCCTCACAACAGATCCAATCTCTGAAGCACAGCAGCCTTAATTCTAAATAGAGACAAATATCAGTGTTTGCAGGCAATTTTCACGGAATGGATAACCAATGGGCAAGAAAAAGTGGTAAAGAAAAAGTGGTATCTTCAAACCCTGCTGCTCAAAGCYACATCCTGATATTTGTTCAGATTTAAAAATTCATCTCACCACAGTTCAAAAGGTACTGACCATCCACTACTTGGAAGGAAGCCCACAGCATTTGTTGATTCCTCTCAAAAGCATATCCAAATACTCAAATACAGAATTCAAGACCCTAATTTTMAGCTCCAAAAAGGTGATGTTATTCAGGCTAATTACACAAGCTTAACAYAGAAGCTCCATTTTGGGTGTGCTGGCATCAGCCTCCACAAAGCTGCTTTGTGACAAGATACAGATTTTGCAGGAAGTACAAAATAGAGATGTTGTAACAGCACCTGCTGAGACCTATTTGAATAAATTTCTAGGAAAAGATACTGTAGTGAGACAGTATTTTTTGTAATGTTTGTAATGTTTGACACCAACATTTGGCACAAATGCTGCCAGTGAAAACTYACCAAGGGATGCAATGAGCAGGGAAACATCTTGGGACTGAAGATCTGCAGCATGTGAGCAGGAGGGATCCCTGAAAGCAAAATGAGGGCAAAACCTGAAATTTGGAAGAATTATGCTAAAGTTTGGCCATGCTAGCCAGCACCCACAATGAGAAAGTGAAACTCTCACAGTCTTCACCTTCTATGCATGGAAATTAAAAGCAAATGAGGTAAATAAGTTTCAGAGCTCTTTCTCAGAGGGATGGAAGTGACATGACAGCTTTATTTTATAATTCCCAGGAAGCTCTTAGTATTACAAATAAAACAATACAAACCAGCTCTTGACTGAGGCTATATTAAAAAGGTCTCAGAAATTGAACCTCAAATGAGTTCTGTAAGAAGCAGGTCAATCAGCTAAGTGAAGGCACTTCTCACTGTTTTAAAATATCCTTTTCGTAGCAGCTTCTCCAGCTACAATTTTGGTTTAATCCTAATCAAAATTCATGAATTACATTTTCTTTTATGAAGTATCCTTAGGTTCTGGATTAGAAACATCAGAACTTGTGCTGTATTGAATTTTTCAGCTTCATGTACCACTGTAATTATCATGTGTTGGGTAAAGAAAAACAACTTCCTGCATTTGGGTATTTACAGACGTCAGGAAGACAAGAAAGGAGTTCTTGAACAAAAATAAAAGCAAGCACTAAAGGCAAATGGTGTGGTCACCTATTTCCCTAGCAGCTAAAACATCTGAGGAACCTGGCAAAGAACAGAAGCTTTGGAAGCTTCCAGATTATCTCAAGTTTAGATGTAAACACAACTTTCCTGCAAAAACACATCCCACACTGCTCCTGAAGCATGTGAAGAGCCAGAGTGCGCTCTGAAACTGCATTCTAAGTACACAGCACACAACAAATCTATTATTCTTACACTGTTTTCCTCATGGTTGTTAAAGGGGATTTTCTCCCACCATAACTGCCAAGATCCACGGAGGGAAGGTCACTGTCTGAGCTTGTYAATTCTTGGAGAATCCTCTTCAGATCCTGCAATGGTTCCTCCTTCAAAATGTCCAGCTTGGAAGGCATCTGAAATAAAAGAATTCAGTTACAAAGTATTAACAAAGGCCCTCTCTTGTCAATTCTTATCTCTACTCATCCAAATGCACATTTTTTTTCCCCTTTTACTTTTGTTTTGTCCTTTTTAACCCCTGACCCCAGGTACTGCTGTACAGGACACAGTCACAGTGCTGAAGGGAGACACAGGAGCACATGGGGGTGTTTTCCAGGCACTCATTCCTGTGACAGCTGAGCTGTCTGCAGATACAAACCCCTTTATTGTCACAGCCATCTCGGAGATGAACTGTAATGTTCTCCTCATTTTACTGCYCAGGAAAGGCCTGGTTCAAAGAAGCCTTTCTGTGAAAACTGGATTTTTCAGACTACTCAGCACTGCAAATGTTCAAAGCACTGCTCTGACTGACCTCTGCTCCACCACAGGATGGAACTGACTGGAAATACTTTGCTACCCCATTTTCATTAGAAAAAAAAAGGTAATTTTCAAAGGGAACACACTGGTTTCAACAYAGCATACATTGGGAACAAATCCTCAGCTTCATAAGGGGTCAAAGTGATACTCAATCAGACCAAATCCTCCTTTCCCACATTCCAGCCAAGAAGCCAGACTTTCACCCAGGTAGAGCCTGTCTCCTTGTCTGAGCTGCTTCAGTTTTTACAACTAATGATGCAGGAGCCAAGAAGATTAAAGCACACTTTGATTCAAGTGCTCCTGCAACCTGTTGGGTCCTCACTGTGGTACTAAATTAAAGATCAGTTCTTTTTCCTTTTTTATCTTCAGAAGTATAAATTGATCAGCTCAAAGGATAGACAATGGGAGTGCCTGATGCTGCAGGGTTTTCACAGAAGTGACTATCCTTTGTTCCTTGATGTAAATGTTTGCCACCACATCAGGAAGTAAACCAGAAAATATTGAAAAACGCCTGCACTAGCTTGCAGCCTCCTACACATTTTGAGTTCAAAAATAATGAAAATACCTGGGAGATACATCAGGTCACTTCTGGAGATTGATACAAAATCTATTCAGAAAATAAAAGGATTTTTTTATGAGAGATTGTAGCTGATGTTTGCTGTAATGAAAAATCAGAGCAACACTAGATTTTAATTTAAATCTAAATGCAGAGGTACAAAACCAAAAGGAAAGACAGTGATGTGGATAAAACTGATCAAAATCAGTGAAAGCCAGCTTGGAGCAAGATTTAAACTTCAGAGAGATGACTRCATTTATCTAGAACTATGAAGAAACCTATTTTCACTGTCAAATRTAAGTTATTTACAGCAAACAAAAACAAACTCCTTACAGATCAATACCTTCAAATGTAATAGTTCACAAATGTTATTGACGGTAGAAGTAAAATAAACTCAGCATGACTACAGGATTTTTTAGTTGTCTCATTGTTTTTCACACACATAAAAAAAAAAAGAGACCTGAAAGGCCACAGTACCTGTGAAGCTACAGAAAATTATTTCATTCTAGGAATTTGCTCTTGGACATTCTGAGGAGATGCTCTCCCATTTGGAAACTCCATGTTATGTTTACTGTTTGGGAAATGCTGGTGTCCCATGCTGAGGCAGGTACTCACCTGAGGGGCAGAGCTGGGCAGGTGCAGGGCAGGTGGCCGGAAAGAGCACAAGTGGGACAGAGGCACAAAGTGCTGCAGTTTCCCTGAAGCAGAAGCTGARGAGTAGCCTGGGCCCTGCAGCTCCTGAGGAAAAACAGCAAAAGTTCCCCACCTTGGTCATTCTTCCTCTGAAGCACTTTTTATATTGCTTATGTAGAGTTGTATTTTGAATAATAGCATTTGGTTTCTCCCCCTAAGTCAGCAAGTGGCGTGGGTCACTAAAATTAATGATAATTTCTTAASATCAAACTGCTGTACCCAAAGTACCATTCATTTAGAGCAGTAGCCTCACTGCAATCTGAAGAGTCCAAGGCTATAAAAAAGACAAAGATAAATAACATCCTCTGTCCATCTTAATAGTAAAAATAGGGGTTGGACTAAATCTGTTATTTGATTGACCTTTCTGTAAAGAGTACTTCAAAAGCCTGGAATGATGGACATGACTTGTGCAGCAGTGAGGAATTCCACATGGGAAAAGGATTTCAGAACACAAACTTTTGAGACTTTCTGGCAATGAAAAGGGTTAAACCTGAAGTCAGGCCCCAAAGCAACTGCTCCTAAGGTCAGGGCCATGCTTGTCAGGAAGGCACCCACCTTCACATCCAAGGTGTGCTGCAGCCTGAAGCGCACGGCGTCCTGCTGCTGCTGCTGGATGATGCACTGGCACTGGGCAAACTGCAGCAATGCCTGCAACAGAGGGGACATCAATGAACTCTGCTGACCTGCTATGGATTACACTCCTTCCTGTTCTCTCTCTGATAAAGAGTGCACACTGGGATTTATCTCCTGCTATCAGCACAGAAACACTGCAGGATGGCTCTGCTGACAGGCTCACTAAAGCAACTGGTTACAGAACCCTGGCAGCCACAACTGAATGTCCCAGAAGGGAGCTGATCCACTCAGGGCCAGTCCCACACCYACTGCACACCTCTGGGATTAGGCAATTCAACTGTGCTCAGGAGGCAAAACCATACTCTAGGTTTTAAACAAGATGGCTGAGAACCTGGCTAACCTGTCTTTTTTAAGTTGCTGTCTACTTTTCTCCCTTTAAAAAATTATTTTGAAAAGGGGTGAGAATATCTACATGCCACAAGCAAGGAAGGCTTCCAATGGCAAGCATTAAATCGAGAAATGCTACACTTGGGAGAAAGTACCACAATTATTTCAATTATTTTGTCTTTTTTGTTTTAAAGAATTGGAGAATGAAATCTTGCATAGAAAGCAGCTGTGCCCAGAGTCAGTGGAAAGTTTTACAGCCTGTACAATCCATTTGCAGTTTAGATAACCCTGAACTAAAGAGTAAAACAAAAATTTTCTTAATGAAAATAGAAGCCTTTTATGATTAAAAATCTACAGATATCTCTTCAGGTAAGGGTCTTACAGCACATTGAAAAGAACATAATAAATACAACCTTTCTCTTCCCAGGTGACTGCAGAGGAAAACATCCACAGACCTTCCTGAACTCAAAGTTTCTCTAAATTACCTTATCAAGGGCTGTCTCCATCTTAGATAGTTTTTCTTTCAGGCGTTTGTCTTGTGTTCTCAGGATCTCCAGGTCCCCACCAATCCTGATGTTTTCTGCTCTAATACAGCTCAATTTTTGACTTAGTTTAGTATTTTCTTCTCTGAGGTAATGCTTCTCCTGAATATAAGGTAAGGACATAGTAGGAATCAAAAACTATATATTATACACATTTGTCTTCTGTCAAAYTTGTTTTTTYAWCTTTGAAATATCTGAMTCAACCCCTTTGAGAAGYTGAGATATTGCACCTTGCAGAAAGATGAGGTTTTGCAACAGGAAGAAAGGTCTTAGAAGGAAAAGTGCAACTGGACTGGTCTCAGTGAAACAACATCTCAGATTTTTGATCCAKTTTGAAACTGGAATTTTAAGCTTCAGGATCCACAGGATTCAAAACCAGCAAAGGAGAAGCACAGGTTGCAGTGAATAGATAAATATGATCATTCAGTGAACTACAGCTGATATTAACTGAGTGATTCATCACAGAATGAAAAAGGACTCATTGCAATAGACAGACCCTGACAGAGAGAGTTTASAACCAGAACTGACTCAGAATGCAGAGGGGAAGCACCATGGACCAGAGTCAGAATAATACAGAATGTGTAAGTGGACATTTTTAGGAAGAACTGACATGTAAAAACGTGAATCTCAATGAAATTATTCTTACAGGACAAACAAACATAAATTAAGACCTGTCTCTGTGCAGAAGGCTGATTTCCATGTACACTGAGTAAAACTACTTTTGRTCCTTCATGGGCTGACTGTGCTTTTGCCCATGCATTTCTCCCAAGACAAATCTCTCTAAATACACTGAAATGTTTTTACATGGAGCTCTTGTCACCTTAGCTGCATTTGCCATTGCCTCTTCTAAGAATTTAATCCTGCTCCATAATGCATCTATCTGTCCTCTTTTGGCTGTGATCTCCTTCTGCATTCTCGCTGCAACTTCCAGAGCTGGAAAACACGATGTTAATTCTCAATGAACAAGGGTGATGACTCTAATACAAAAATTCCCTTCTTAATAAGACAAATMTGTGTGATTTCTGGGAAGTTCAGTCCATAATTACCATTACCATCAGATGCCTCCATAGTCTTTAGGGCAGTCCTGGCCTSTTTCAGTTCAGCTTGGGCTGATTTCAGCTGCATTTTCAGTCTGTTCACGGTATTTTCCATCTCCTTGATTTCACACTGATAATTCCTCTTCAAATCTTCAAACGCCTCTGGTGAGAGTAAGCAAAGACTGAAATTAGAGTGACAAAATATTTAATTCTTCTAGACTAACATTACTGATCTGCTGCCAACTTGTGATAAAGGAARTGCTCCCAGAGGGTACTTTCTGAGGGTTACAGGGGTATGCAAGGAGAAAAGCAGTGCCCAGTAACATCTGGTCAACTGCAATGAAGATTTAACTGAGAATATCCTAGATTTTGGTGGTGCTTTGGGTACAGACCCTGTTTTTTATAAATTTTAAATAATACATTCGTATTTTTATATATCGTAAATATTTTTGTTTTGGAGTGTTATATAWCTGTGTATATTTTAATAACATATCTTGATGGGGTTTCCCTCACATTAGTTGTGAAAACATTGAAGTAAAAGCATCAACTTTTAATAAGATTGTAGAAAATTTACAACAAAACAAAGTTTTACTGTAATATGTCCATGGATGGTTAATGGGCTCCACTACTGCTCTTAAACAACCCACATGAAGAAAGGGCTAACTTGCTATTCTGTGATTTACTACAGCTGCTTTTTTCATCTCCTGACTCAGACTGTTTTAAATATTTGTTTCTCATAGTGAGATGGGCCATAAAGATTGTGTTCCCCCATTCAGTGCCAGGATCCCACGCCATGACAGCTCCCTGGAACAATCTCACCATCCTGTGCTGGCAGGAACCTCRTGCTGTACCAGCAGCCCTATTTGGATTCAGCCAGCAGCCTGCTCTTTTATTTTTAACATCAGCCCAAATTAGCAGCTGTGGGAGCTGAGCTGAGGCTCCCTACCTGCAAGGCCAGCCAGCTCCCTCCGGCCAGCCTGGAGTTCATGCAGGAGCTCYTCTTTTTCTGATTTTGCATCATTCAGTGCCTGGAGCCTCTCGGTGCATGTGTGARTCAGTTGAACCTTTTCCAGCTCCAGCTCGCTCAGCCTGGCCTCAACTTCACATATTCTGGCTTCTTTCTCATCCTTCGCACTCTGCTTACATAAAAAACCATAATTGTAATATACATAATTATATTAAAAAAACACAAAGATGGGTGGACACCATCACCTGAAATCTGTTTGGGGCAAGAAAGAAAACCAGAGTAAAACAGATCAGTTACTGGTGTGAAAAATGCTAATCAGGCAAAGAGGGTACAGCTGAATTGGATCTGATGGCTTTAAAGGATAATTCACCTTACCAGGTGTAGGACATGAACATGATTTTGATCCTCTTGTAGCAGCCCCCCCAGGTGATTCAAATGCCTTCTCACAAAAGAAGATCAAATTCCCTGTCTGGAGTGATTTTTCTTCTGAAGAWGCTGACCTGCATAAGACTACCATATCCTGTATTTCTTGTCTGAGAAAAAACCACTGTCCTCAGTTTGGAATTGTGAGTGCTGCCTGTCTGCTGCTCCTCAGTAACAGTTTGTATTTCTGGTTCTGTTCTGGCATGGACACTCATCTCATCAAGGTCATTCCAGCTCTCACCARCCTTTTGGCAGCTGCTTTCCACCAGGGAATTATTCATTTTTAGTGGCAATGTTAYAATACTATCCTCCTCTGCCCACTAACTGAGTGCTGTTAGAATTCCAGGGGAATTGCCTTTCTTCAAAACCACAGTATCAGCACACTAAGGCAGACATTTAAAAACAGAAAACATTTATTGTCTAAAGAGACATGAATATAGCATCGTTTGCACACCTTAAGCTCTTCTGCTTYGAGTTTCCAGTCATTTATTTCTTTTTCCAGCTGAGATTTCTCAAGTTCCTTTGCTCCAGCAATCTGACTGTGCTGGCCCACGATGTKGGTCATGTTATCAATTTGCTTCTGGAAGATCTCAATGATCCTTTCCTTTTCCAACACCTGCAGTTTCAGTGTCTCACACTCCAACCGCACCTTGTGTAAGCAGCCCTCTTGGCTCTTCACGTGCTGGAGCTCCTGCATCCTGCTGCTGAGCTGGGAATGCAGCTCCCTGATTTCCTGGCTGGTAGCYCTGAGGGCTCTCTCCTTCTCCTGCAGACAGGCCAGCAGATCTGACACYGTTTTCTCAGCAGCCTCCAAATCCATGTGTTTGGCTGCAAGATCTTCCCTGACTTTGTGCAGTGCTTCCTCAGTCATCTCCAGCTGGACAGTCAAAGATGAGATTCTCCCAATGCTTTCATTTTTTGCTTCAAGTGCAGCCATCTGAAGAATAACAATATAAGGATCAACCAAGAAATTTGGTTATTTCTACCTTTACAATGTCCTGGCACATTTTTGGTTTTCTGAAGGCCGTTCATCTTCAACACCTGAGTTGTAAGAAAAATTAGGTCAGGGTGCTCTGACTCCTCTCTCTCCATTATAATAACTGAATAGAATATTAGTTTTTTAAACACAGGAAATGAAAAATGTTAAACTGATGTAAAAAAAAAAATCACCTAGCAATGTTAGTGCAAAATTTAGAGCACTTAAGGCTAAAGAACTTCAAGTGATAACTTGACTGCACTGTAAAGTTGGGGAGAAAAATAATCACATGAATAATTTATTACTGATTTAATTCCTGCAAGCAGCAATATGCACCATTTAAAGCACAAAGTACTGTGATTCAGAAACTGATAAAAGTGCAGTGTAGAAAACAACAAAAAAAGTGAACTTCCTGGTGGGAGGATTTTCAACAAAAAATAATGGATTGGAAAAATGGAGAACCATGCATGAGTTAGCTCAAGGCGATGGTTTGATAGAAAATAAAAGRATCAACTGGATCTTTACTCCTATCTCAAAGCAGGTTATCTAATTACAGCTCACTTCTGAGGAGCTGAAGTTTGGAAGAAAAGGGATGTAAATTCAGTGTCTATTCTGCCAGGAGGAATTCTGACATAGCACTGATTTATAAACACCAACTTCATTAAGTTTTCATTAAATACTGCATGAAGTAAAGCACTCTGAAGGCCTTGAATTTACTAACCACTCTTACAGATATGCTCACTGCTGAAGATACCACACTCAAGCAGTATTAAACTTTCTGAAAATGTACAAAATGTCATCTTGGAAGTTTATAGTCACAATCACCAACCTGGCCCTCCATTTGTCTGCGACACTCCATCCTCATTTCCTTCAGTGCCTTTTCCATGCTCTGCAGCTGCATGTTTCTCTTGTCCAGCTGCCTCCTGAGCTGGACCATGCTGATGCTGTTGTTTGTGTTCCGATCCCAAAATCGCTTGTTCTGCTCTCTTCCTAGGCTTAGTTCCAACTCTTTTTTATGGAGTCCAGCCTATAAGAAATTAAAGCCATCTCCCTCCTAAATAAATCTAAGGTTTTTTATCCTCTTAATGATAATTTAAAATGTAAATAATGTTTAAAACATTCTTCTGCTAATCATAACTTTTGCTGTAGTTTACTGCCTGCATGTTGGATAAGTCTTGCAAAATATGTGTTAAAGGACCAAGGTTCTTTAACAGAGGGATCTAAACWGTGAGGTTGAAGTGGAGATAGCTCAGCATCTTTAATATGATTTCCATAGGGTTCTGTGGTTTTGAATTTATAAAGTCAGGGTTAATTCTGAATGTCCCTCAATGCTAATGGCAAAGGCCTTTGGGCCTTCAACACCTAATTCAAATTACCAGTTAAAAATAAGTGCCAAAGTTAATTAAAAGTGGAAACAAGCTAAGTGCAAATCTGAACACCAACAGTAAGGAGAGGCTTTTAGAAAGCAAGATTTTATTTCAGTACAATTACATGTTTTTACCAACAATTGATGAAGCTGGTCATTAGGATTTCCAGATTCCTGGCCATGTTGCACCTGATCTGTCTGAGCTTCTGCTGTCTCAGAATGAGCCAGGTGCAACCGTTTCTCAAGGTCTTCGACCTAGAAAAAAAGGAAAAAGTATTGAGAATTATCTTAAAGTATTCTATTTTAAACAGTACATTTGATTTCTTCTAGTTTTTTTCTATTTTTTACTTGAAATAAATCCAAATGTCATCCTTTGGCTCAGCAGAGCTATTCCCTTACTGTATTCAGAGCTGTGTTGTCTTCTTTTAGTGATTAAGCTCATTTTCATTTCAGAGTTAATGAGTTCTGGAGCAAAATTTTGCTTCTGTCCTGATCCAGAGCTCTTCAGAAGTCTCTTACCTACACCATAAACACTGCCTGGAATGGTGAAGCAATACTTTAGAAAAAAACAAAAGATCTTTTTTGCAGAGAGGAATATTCCTTCACTATGGCTACATTCAGAAATCTCCAGGCAAACATGTTTTGTATCAAATGATGTTCATTTTCTGTGAAAGGAAGAAACTTCTGTCACTGCATGAGATGATGGACCAGTCTACAAGGCTATTTAATAAAGACACTCTTAYATGCAAAATTTATGATAATGTAGTTTATCCTACTGTCCACAGTTTTTCAGAAACAGTCCCTCACCATCAGACTTTCCTCCTGTCTCTGGAACATTTCAGATCTCCACATAACTCAGTTTCATTGGCACCAATGCTAACATATAAATCCATACACACCTTCTTTTSATAGATCCTCTTCACTTCTCCTAACTCGGAACGGAGCTGACAAACTGTGGATTCCAGATGACAGACTTGATGTGGATGCACTGCATTTGGAGTTCTTGGTTGTTCTCTATGGAAAGTTTGAGCTGGAGAAATTAAAAACTGGAAGAACTGTCAGAGGAGAAGCASCCTCAGCCTCCTCATTCTCAGCCTGCCTAACACAGGGATGTTTTGTCTCATCTCTATATTGCATGGTTTTGTGGGGTTTCTGGCTTTTTGTGGGCTTTTAATTTCACAGTCCGTACAAGTGCTTCATTTAAAAAAAAAAAAAAAAAAAAACCAAAACAAAACACCGAGAAACCAAAATAGGGCAGAGAGTGGAGTGTAGGAGCAACACAAGTTTTCTCTCAAATTAAAGTTACTCTTAACATTTTCTACACTATAATCAAAACCCAGGCTTAATGATACCTGTCCATCAGCCTTTGGATGCTACTCGCAAGCTGCAGGCACTGTGTGCTTTGTGAGTCACTGCTGCCACCTCCTGCTCATCCTCTTTTCTTAGCTGCTAAATCCTCTTCCCGAAAGAAAGCTGGGTGTAATTTCATCTTGTTTCACTTCACTGTAATAATTTCTGATACTAAGTATCAAATTATGGATAGCTTTACTTCAACGAGGTTACTGTGTAACTCAAGTGAATGGCAGAGCAAAAATTAGGACTTCTCAAACAAGGAAGGACAAAACTTAGTGAAATCAAGAAGAAAAAGCTGATTTAACCACCAAAATTACTTTCAATATTTTCTTTTAATGGWGGAACTGCTGTCCAAACAAATTCCACAAGTCCACTTAAGTGACGCTTAGAATAGTAAGGTGCAGAGACTCTTCCAAAATAGAATTTTTGGGGCACCAAATAAACCAGGAGATTGTCAACATGGAAGGAAAGAGCAGCTGAAAGTCAGGAGGAAATAAACAACTGGAAGGAACAACAATTAAAGTCCTCAAAAATATCACTTGCTACCCTCTAGCCACCCCAGTGCAAATGCCTTCATCTTCATCATCATCACCATCACAAAGGAATTCTCTGTGGAACAAGTGAAAAATGTCTGGTTAAACTTTATGGGTTTTTATCCTAATAGGTATAACCCTTCAGTTGATTAACTGCTGCTTTTTACAACTAAGTAATGAGTAGTTTTCTGAACCAGGAATGCTATAATCTCATTCCTGGAGGGAAGTTTCTCCCTGAGGAAGTTTGCTGTGCCATGATACATCTGCCTTGGTTTCATACCTGGTATCCTGAGGTGCATCTCTTTCCAGCTCCAATTCCATCAGTTTGCTCTGCCAGCCAGACTTAAATGCTTTTCCTGCTGCTCACATAACTCAGTRGCCTAAAGGAGAAAAAATGAACAAACTAACTGCACCAGGCTGAATGAATCAGTAAACCAAATCTCAGTTTGCCATCAATTTTCAGACTTATTAATGACCCTTCTTTGGGAGAAGCTTTCAAAAATTTGATACACAGCTGTATATAAAAGTCACTAAATTCAAGCACTACCTTCTGGGGAAAAAAATGAAACACAGCAGGAATTTTTTTAACAGCAAACAAATCCTGTATACTACTTTAATTCCTGGATATTCTTGCTCATTGGAACAGCACATGTGAAGAAACAGATGTGTATTTATTTTTAATCTATTAAGGGTCAAATTTATGTAACAAAATTAATTTTACCCATCTAATTTTAAAACTGTAGGAGCACTTAAAGATATTTCAGACGAGATAAGTTGGCCTCTTTTTTTCAAGTCTTCCAATTTGGTTTGTCAGAATGAACCCAGATGCAGAAAGAAGGGAAAGAAGGGAAAGAAGGGAAAGAAGGGAAAGAAGGGAAAGAAGGGAAAGAAGGGAAAGAAGGGAAAGAAGGGAAAGAAGGGAAAGAAGGGAAGAGAAAAAAAAATGAGGAAAAAGAGGAAAAAGAGGAAAAAAGAGAAAAAAAGAGAAAAAAAGAGAAACAGAAAAGGAAAAAAAAAAGCAAAAAGAAGGGGAAAAGAGCAGAAGAGAGGAGAAAAAGGAGGAAACAAAATAGGAGGAAAAAAGGAAGGGAAAAATAAGAGAGGGAAAGGGGGGAAATGGAGCAAAAAGGGAAAAGGGGGGAAAAGGGGGGAAAAGGGGGGAAAAAAGAGAAAAAAAAGAGAAACAGAAAAGGAAAAAAAAAAGCAAAAAGAAGGGGAAAAGAGCAGAAGAGAGGAGAAAAAAGGAGGAACAAAATAGGAGGAAAAAAGGAAGGGAAAAATAAGAGAGGGAAAGGGGGGAAATGGAGCAAAAAGGGAAAAGGTGGGGAAAAGGGGGAAAAAAGGGGGAGTTGGTGAATCTATTACTTAGTGTCCAGAAGGTATCGATAGATTCCTTACTTAGATTATTTGGGTTTTTCTGTGTCTGGTCCTCTGGAGCACAGGTGACCACACCACAGGTCAAGAGGCAGCACCCGGATAAGTTAACCCCTTGAACAAACCTTTCTGTGCCTGCCACAGGATGCTTGCCCGAGAGCCAGAGTCTCTGAGGGCTCGGAAAGGAGCAGAGGAGAAGCCCTCAGCCCGCCCGGGTCCGTCTCCCCTCAGGCGATCTTTTCCCGTTCCCGCCATCGCTCGCTTCCCGCCGCGCCCTGAGGGCAGCCCGCCCCCGCTCCGTCCCCTCAGCGCTGCCGCCGCCATTCTCCCGCTGCTCCCGCCTCCGCAGCCGATCCAGCCGCTCCTTTCTGCTCCTYTTTGGGAAGAAGCCATGCCGAGCCGCCAGCCACACCAGCGGGAACAGCCCGCTCCAGCGGGAATTGCGGCGCCGAGCCCCTCAGCCCCAACATGGCCGCTCCCCCCTCACGGCCCGGGCACCATTTTGGGGTCGGGGTCCAAGTGGTTTAGCGTCGCCGTGATTAAAACAGAGGCTAAAAATCCTCTCGCACGGGCACAGAGAGAAGCCTGGATCTTTTTCCATACGGTATTTAGACGGRAAGGTGGCACGTTTTGGATGGGTGACCGTGAGCTCACGGAAGGCAGAAGTCGAGGTGAGGAGACTTCTTCCCGCCAGAGGGTCAAAAGCAAAAGATTCAAAACTATCTTCCCCTAACTCCAGTTCAGTAATAAAACCTGGAATATTTTTACATGATTCTCGTCAGAAAGAACAAATTTTTCTGTGTTCCCTAGTATTTTCAGGGTGCGGAAGCGGTGCAGTGAAGAGGCAATTACTTCACTTCAGCAAAGAAAATTGCACGTCCAACTGTCCTGTTTTGAATCTCAGGAATAAATACACACTGCCAATAGGTTGACCCTCTTTTSAGGTTATCCCAAAGACCACCATGATACAAGTTTTCAGGAACAGGTGTATGAACTGGGCCCACAACAAAATCCTCAGAGAGCTGGAGATATTTAACTGWGCAAACTCAAGAGATAGACAGGTATGCTAATATATTTAAATATCTAACTAAGAGGAAAAACACATTCCTCAAGGGTACCACATAATTTTAATTTATAAAAGAAAACCATTCACATAGCGCTGAAAGACAGACACAAGGAGAAAAGTAGTTTTCTATGCCCTACTTCAGAAAAGTAAGAATTAATCAATTGAAAACAGACCATTCTCCTTGCTGCACTACTATCCCGAGTGGAAGACAGCTCAAGGAAAAGACATTTTATTGCACCACCCAGAAAAAAAGAGGCAGCAGCAAAAAGCTTTTTCTCTTATCCACAGGGATAAGAGGCAAATGAGTGTTGAGACAAATACAATCTCCTACAATGTCCTGAAGCGAGATTTCAGTCCTCCAACAGTCTCAGGTGTTAACAAAGCACGAAAACTCACCTGAGAGGGGGCCAGCACCTGCCTCTGGCAGGCAATGCTGGGCTTTGTTTCTCCGGGATTTTGGACAATGCACTGAGGTTTTGCTCCTTACTGTGGGGCTGGGAAAGGAGGGGGCACTCAGGACCCCGCATTCGCTTCTGGTTTTTCTGTGCTGCGGACCGACAACTCAAACCCTGCTGGGAGCCACCTGCCCCTTACTGCAGCCCCTTTTCTTGACTCGGTAGCCTTGGGAACAAACTCCTCCCTTGTAGCCGGTCATGCGCATGAGGGAGAGCCAAGAAACGCCCCATGCAGGGTTTGATTTCTTCCCCAAGTGTCATTCAAAGTCTGCCTTTAGCGGGAAACTTGATCTACCCTTCGGGGATCCTGGCAAGGACCTGCTTGTTGCAGAGCATCCCCTGTCCTGGCTGCAGGTGCCTCTTTTTGTCCCTTTTTTCCTGGGAGTCCAGGTCCAGAGCACCCCCTGTCATTCCTAACACAGCGGTTACGAACAGAATAACTCTTAGGATCAAATTCCTGAGTAACGTTCCTCCTGATTGGAGTACCTCAGAGAAGATAACAAGATGCAAATATAAACTGCTCGTGTTTAAAATAATCCGTTCTTCCTAGAGAGAGGACTGTGAGCTGTGCAGGGGGAATAGAACTTCAAAGGAAGGGACTGGAGTAATTTATGCCAGCACAGACTCAACTAAAAYACCAGGGCCATACCCACCAGCCCCWYCAGAGTTGGTTAAAGGCTCTAAMARTGGCTTGAAATRTTTAGYAATCGTCTAATTTGGGGTGGGAACATTGTAATGTTGTGATGTTGCACCGTGATGACTGTTTTTTGAATCCTGGTTCCTGATTCAAACTCTATTTGCAGCAGGGTGGTAAGATCAGGTAGATGAAAATTCAGATGCAGAGGGAAAACCTGCAGTTTTGAGCTCAAATGTCCTGAATTCACATCCTTCAGCTGTGGCAGGACTTGTGCTTTCCTTAGAGGGTTGGATCCATTACTCACCTTGGCTTGTTGCTTTTCAGTTTGCTTTGAGGAACTGAGCAACCCAGAGCAGTTCTGTGCTGGAGGCAATCTTAAATGAAGAGTCTCTTTCATGTTCTCCAAAGAAAATTCTTTCTTTTCAGACTTCAAAGACAAGTGCYTTTTCCAACACCAAAAGGATGTGGATTCATTGATTTCATAGGTTACTTCTGTTTCTCTGCTTTGTTGTTTCCTTTCACTCTCAGATCTCTGTTTTCCCCTTTTTCTGTCTGATTTTTCACATTTTTACCTCCGGCCTTTCCAGAAAAACAAGTTTATTCTGTGGTTTGGAAGCAAGATGAACTCAAATGCAACTGGGAACCCATGTGGAGGTTCCCTGTGTAGCCCTAGGATTTTTTTCTTTAGAAACACCTTTTGAACATTARTTGATGCTTGCAATCCCTTTGATGCCATACAGAGCCTCCACATGTGTTCCTTCCTGTTCTTTCTTCTTTTAGATGCYGACTGACATTTTCCAGAGCTCAGGGAGATGGATATGTTACAGTCAGCCCAAGCTGATTTGAGGTAAGTATAGGAAAGCCATTAAAAAAAAATGTTCCTGATTGTTTAATATAAAAAACCTTCAGGGAATACTACYCCAAGAGAGAATCATTAATTCCTGAAGGGGTGCTGAGCTGATCCAGGAGAGTTGTATCTTTTGACATCCGTGTTTTGTTTCATCCTAGGRTAGATTTAGGTGAATGGCTTCAGGACTCCTGGGGAGGGGAAGAAGCTGGGCCCGCTGGTGCCTGAAGGATGTCTGTTATTTAAAATTCCTGACACTCCTCAGCTTACACAGAGCCCTGCCTGGAAGAAAAAGAGTTCTTCAGTGATAAAACCAGGGACCAAGGGAAAAGAAGCTGTCTGTATGGTCATCAGCAAGTCACCTATTGGCACTCTTTGTGAAAGGTAGGATGGCCCGCGTTATTGTACAAAACTTCTCATTAGAAATAAACTGTGAATTGCTTCCTCTGAGCTTTCAGGATAGAACTAAGCAGAAGGTGGATTTAAAYTAAGCCTAGTGTTTAATTCTCCTGCCAAAAGGGCAGTAACAGATGTTTAGCTGAATTTCCAGTCTGATTTTTAGGTTTACCTTTGATCYGACCTAATGACTTGCCAGCTCAGGGGCTCGGGTAACATCAGTAACATCGCTCTGAATACTCAGGAAAGATTCAGCTTCACTTTGGAAAGGGAAAAGCATAGCAAATGCCTGTTAACTAATGAAATGTGTGCATTTAAATCCGTTTAAGCTGTGACAATTTCTGGTTTCAGCACACGAGGGCACTGTTGCTCCGATTAACTTCAGTTGCAAAAGACACTTGGGCTATTTAAGTAAAGACAGCAGTTGCCAGCTGCCTTGAATGATGATAAATACAGGGAATGATTGAACTCTGAAAAGTGAAATCAGTGTAATTTTTCCTTCTTTAGCAGTTTAATGCTCCATGAGGGAAAGGGTTCTGACATGACTATTSCAAATTTATTTTCTCTTACACTGAAACTGTGCCAAACTTCACATGTAATATTCTGTATGGACAGCCCTTTTCTGAGCCCGGGTGTTTTTGTTGCATCCCAGAAAAGAGTATCTCAGCTCCGTYCAGAGAGGAAYTCCTGTGTGGAATAAGAGCCCACTGAGGAAGTTGCACAGTATTTGGCAGCCCATTTTGGGTGGTTGATCAAACCTTTTTCCTTAGCTGGTTGTACATCTCTGATACATGGTAGCACCTGTATGTGACCTTTTTAGAGCTGCATTAACAGGATGAAAACCTAGCAAATTTGGAGATGGTAAGAGGAGAAAATTGTGTTCTTGCAATTTGATGGAGTTTTTGGAAAAAATGATGTTGGTTTCAGCATGTGAAATGARCCACAGTGCTGCAGGAGAACTAAAACTGTCTCTCAGAAATATGTTGTTAACTTTTAATCATCAGATACAGCAGGCACCGTGGGAAATACAGCTCTCACTGAAATCTGGTGTCTGCAGACAGGTATGGTGACAAATGTTTTGTATGGGAAATGGATGTAATCCAAAGAACTACCTCTTGTTAACAGGCTGGTGTGTCCTTACACAGCCTTAACTAGTCCTGCTGGCTATGGATAGGAGGAGGCACGGCCCCGAGAGAGCTCCCGGAGCCTTCGCCTGTCCCTGCAAGGGCTGTGCAGAGGATGGAAATGAATTGCTCTTTGTGGTGGCTCCCAGTGAGCGTTTTTACACTGAAACATTAGGAGTGTAAAACCTCAGAAATCTGATTTGAGTCAGGCTAAAGGGTGAGTTCTGGATAATAGCAATCTGTGAGCCTGACCGGGATGTGAGGCTAATGAAAACTCACCCCCGGGGAGGGAAACTGAGGGGRAAAAGCTCAGGGTAAGCAAGGACTGAGGAATTGTGTGCCATGAAAAATAAAGCAAGGGGTCTCTTTTCTGYGTTTCTCTTCATGCCTGTTGGGAAATGAGAACTGGGACGCATGGAACAAATAGAAGCTTCTGGGAACCGGTAACATCATCTTAAAGGGGATGGGAACCATGTGGCATGGACAAACACAACGATTCCTGGGTTTAGAGTCCCAGCTCCAAAGCTTTTCCCCCAAAGCTCATTAAGATTTTGTTAACACAAGGTCCTGACAGCTTGCAAAACCCAAAGGAGAAAACATCCCAGGCACTGTGAGATCAAAAACTGGGAGTGCCTTAGACAGAGACACTACTGTGTGTTTCCTCAGCTATGCCAACAGGAAGGGCAGTAGGCTCTGGTCTCCTCTCTCTAATGTCCTATTYGAAATCCAATTAAAAATCAGAAAAGGTTTTGCACACCTTCAGTGACACATGCTGTGAAATATGTTAACTGATGAGCCAAGTCCCTAAGCCTACACCACGTACGGAAAGAGCAGATGAACCCACATCCACATGTGCTGCAGTAAGCAACTGCCTACATTAATAAAAGTATCCCAAGTTTTTGGTGTTATTTCTTATTCTGTGTATTGGGAAAGCTTTGGCCTTTTCTGGCAATGTAAATGGAGAAAAGAAGTATATCCAGGGGAGCTGGTAGGCTCCATGTAGAGGAAAAGCRCTTTATGAGAGCAGAATTATTAGCAGTGCTCCACTGAGCTGATTTGGAACAGGTCCATTGTGTTTTCAGCAACTGGCAGTTTGGATTGTTACAATTCCTTGGCAAGGACAATAGAAAGATGGTGGTTTCCGGGGGCATAATAAAAGGGTGAGCCCCAGCTTTTGCACACTGCATTTTATAATTGCATGCTTGATGTGCACAATTGGGCACCACTGCCTTACTTGCCTTAATCCATCCCTCTCCCTCTCTCTCTCTCTCTCTCTCTCTCTCTCTCTACCCCCCTCACTTCCTCACCCTCCCTCAGAGCAGCAGTAGCTGCTGCAGCTCTGGCAGCTCATCGGGGAGAGCACCGAAAATGAAAAGAGTTCAGTTATCGCCTTAACGTTTTTCCCAAAGGATCCATTTCACCTGCTTCTCCAGTTTTCCTGATAGCTTTTTTTTTTTCACTTTTTAATCCTATAAGTATGGAGTTATTTCACATTTTAAACCCCTCTAAAGGGTTTTAGGAATGGATTTCTCTCTCCTCCTCCCCCAGCYTTTTTTTTTTTTTTTTTTGACAAGTCAGAAAATTGTGAAGTAAGCGAACAGAGTAACTGAGAGCTCGAGAGGGAGAAGACGCTTCCATTCTTTTAGTGCAGTGGGCTGAGGCAAAAAGGCCATTGTAATGGTAAATCGCATGCAGAAAGGAAGAAAAGACTGATAATCAATCACAAATGAAGCATTCGTTTGGATTTTGGCAATTTGCTGGCATGGGGCTTTTAAATCTATAAACTTTTTTCCTTCTTTTTTTGCCCCCATCTTTAAAAGCACAATTTTGATCTTCTTGAAGGTAGGAAGAGAAATCTTGACGAAGTTTTCATGCCCAGAATACCTGGAAATGGGGAGAGCTCAGTGCTGAAATGCCAGTAAAATCCTGAAGGAGAAGCAGCGTGCTGAAATGTTGATGGGGCTGTTTTTAGACCATCACCTTGGACTCTGGCTCTGAAGAAGAACTTTCCTCAGGCTCTTCTTGTTTCTCATATTCAGGGATGACTTGTGGTGGGCTTCTGGGGACTTTGATTTCCAACCTGGTCGCTCTGTGACTGCCTGCRTGGGTTTTGTGTTTGCCCGAGTATGTGATTAGGACACATGA